AAAGAGATATAACCAACCAACCGACCCACTGCCATTGGGTGAATTCCGACTCATAACAATCGTGCACTAGGGTTCCGAGATGGTAATTCTTTACAGGAGCAGACAGCCTCACCTGTCTCCCACAGCTGGTGGGTTTGAACTGTGGCCCTTGTGGTCAGCAGTCCAGTGCTTACCCTATAGCAGTATATGAGAGCCTATTCATAGACATAGAACATTTTTTAAAATTATCATATTGAATTGATTAATAATCAAATATTTGGGAAAGAGTACATCAGAATATACCTAAATTTGATGCTATTGGTCAGGTACGAAATGCTTCTTACACGCTGTCTTTTTGTACCTTGGATGTATTTAACCCCCTAAATGACCTTATCTTGAATTCATACTCTATGTCTACAGGGCTTGCAGCAGCAGCTCTAAAAACAAAGGCTGGAAATACTTGAATATTTTTGGAAATTGCAACTGATACAAAGAACTTCCGAAAGTAATTGTATAACTTTCTTACCAAAATAGGCACAATCCTAAGAAGCTGTAAGACGAGACAGTAATATCTTCCAATTTTAGGTGAGTGATTCCCTCTATTTTTACTAAGGGAGGGAAGAGCAGTGCCTGTAGTCAGTAATCCTTGATTGGTCTTTCCAGGTTTAACATTACATGTCTGCAGTGCAGCCAAGAAAATTTAGCCCAAGTATTTCAGAGAATAAGTAATATGTTCTCATTATTATTATAAGCACCATTAATACCTTAACTTCTTATTGTATGGCAGGCACTGTACAAAAACAGGGAGTGGGGGCTTTATAGCTATTTCCCACTGATTCATAGAGTAATTCAAGTATTTATTACAAAACAGCTGTATTTCAGGCTCTGCTGCAGACATATGACAGGTCAAGTCCCTGTCTACATTAAAACAGAAAATGGGTAAGTGATTGCATATATAAAATTTACGTATTTATAGAATTCATTATAAGGGATAAAATCTATAAATGTGGTGCTGTAGGATAAGCACTGAACTGCTACCTGAAAGGTCGATGGTTCAAACCCAGCAACAGCTCCTTGGAAACATTACACAGGGTCACTAGGAGTCAGAACCAACTCGATGGCACTTAATAACAACACTAAAAGGGAATCAAGCAAGATAAGGGCATAGAGAATGAGTCAGAGTTGCTGTTTGGATAAAGAGGCCAGAGAAGGCCAATTTAAAGGGCTAAGTAGAGACCTGAATGAAGCAAAAGAAAAGCCATGCAAAAATGTGGGCAAAAGCTTTCTATATAAAAAGACAAGTGCAAAATCTCAGAAGTAGGAAGGAACTTGGCCTGCTTAGAAAGCATCACGAAGACCAGTGTGACCAGAACAAGGTGAGAGAGTGCGAGTGGGGTAGGAGATGAGATGAGGAACCGGTAATATGAGGCCTATGGTAAGGAGCTCAAATTTCAGAATATCAAATATCCAAGACAGCCACCCTGTGGAGCTATATTCTATTATCCTTGTGTTCTATTGAATTGCTTTTCATTAACTAGTTTGGTTGCCTTTAAAATTAAAAATATATATATATAAAACCCTAAATTCAGTGGGTCTTCTAATGAAATGTTCTTGATACAATTTAAAAGGAGGCAGGGGTGGATCTAGAAGGGCAAGTACAAGATCTACAGGACAGCCCCTTTCCATATGATGTCATATAAGCACAATGCTTTGCCACTGTGCCAAATTAGAAAAAAAGGTAGAACACACACCCTAATAATGGGACAGTGAACAGACTGAATAATCTCAGAACCTTGGTAACAATGCTAAACTGCAGATCTATACACGGAACCACCTACTTTCAGATTACCTGAATTAAAAATAATCGATGTTCACATTATTTATGGAGGACAGAGGCTCTGTAGGAGAAGCACAGGACTTCAAACTACAAGATTAGCAGTTTAAACCCACCATCTGCTCTTTGAGAGGAAGATGAGGCTATCAGCTCCCACAAAGATTTACAGCTTAGGAAACATTATATAGAGTTGTTATGAGTCAGAATCAACTCCGCAGCGTTAACAACAGCCTATTATTTAAGGCACTGTTCTGGGATTTGTAGTTGAAAGTATCTTAACTGTCATACAGCTTTATGAGGGTGATCACTGTTGTTTATCCCCATTATCCATTATTCCCACTAGAAAATGTCATCATAAGGGGAATTGGCAGTTTGATGCAGGTCACACAGCTGATAAGTGACAAACTCAAACTGTATCTGACTCTAAGGGCATTAATTATGATGTATTACTGCCTCTCTAAAACTACTACTGCTCATGTAGTGATAAATGCTTATCAAAATACAGAATTTAGAATCGAAAGCTGTAATGATAAAGGAGACGTGGCATGAGAAGACATGTTCCTTAATGTGTTTCCAGTGACCTTCATTTTCCTCATTTGTGAAAAAGAAATCAATGGAAAAGACCTACCAACCACAGGAGCAAGTTGATGTTTCCCTTAATAGGAACCCTGGTAGTGTCGTGGGTTACGCTTTTGGCTGCTAACTGTAAGGTCAGCAGTTCAAATTCACCAGCTGCTCTGTTACAGAAAGATGAGGCTTTCTGCTCCCAAAAGGATTTACAGCATTAGAAAACCT